TTATAAAAATTAATATTTATATAACTGATTTTAATTGATTAATTAATTAATTTAAAATTAATCTTTATAATTTTTTATATAAATTAATTAAAAAATTACGTTACTTAAAAGGTTTAGAAATGTGATAATAACATTTTGACACCCAACATACTCGAACACGCGTTTCCATTGTGATGGACGAAATGACAAATCAGCCCAGCCACAGCACTTGTCTTGTTAAATCAGTACATCATATTATATTTATTCATAAGTGATTAAACCAGCAATTTAAATAATTAAATCGATTAAATCGATCAAACCGAGAACCGAAAATCAAACGATTTGACCTTCAGGTCGGTTTTCAAAACATTGATTTTACGTAAATATTAAACATAACTTGTAATTTATAAAAATTAAAATTTCAAAATTACCCTTAACCCTCATTGTTCATGTTCAATCTTTTCCCAGCAGACATCCCAAATCAAGAAAAAACAGATACCAGATAAACAATTTCACACAATCAAATGATCTAAACAAAAAAAATGATAGCAACATAGTAACATAAATCTGAGTTTTTGCGGAGAATTTCACATGATCAAATATCTAAATAAGAAAATGATAGCAACACAGCAACACAAAGCTGGGTTTTCGCAGACAATTTCACATAATCACAGATCTAAACAAAAAAAATGATAGCAACACAAACACGCGAGAAACGCAGGCACCTTGGTTTGCGACGAACCTGTCGATAACAACACAACAACACGCGCCTGGGTTCGAGAGGAATCCAAGCCCCTGGGTTCGCGAGGAGCCCTGGATACGAGAGGAATCCAGCATACTGGGTTCGCGGGGAACCCAGGATCCTGGGTTCGCGATGAACCCAGTATCTGATTCTTAGAAGGCAAACTGAATAAAAAAAAAAAAATAGAAAAGAAAAGAAGGAAGGCCAGAGGAAGGAGAGGATGACAAAAGGGAAGAAGATGAGGGTATATAAGTAATTAAAATCTTTCAAAATAATTTTTAAAATATTTATAATGATAATTATGTAATTAAATGATTATTTAAATTATATTAGACAAAAAATTTTATCATGTTATCAATTTTTATAAATAAATTTTTTTACATAATTTAAGTTAAAATTTCTTTTTTGTTAATTAACCCATTATATTAATAAAAATTTAACGAAAACACTAAAAAAAATCAAATTTTAAACAGTAAAAACAAAAAAAAATAATATAAGGACTTAAAAGAAAATTTTTCCAGAGGGACCAAAAAAGTATTTAACTTATAATAAATATAACATTTCTTTGTTTTCTAGCTTGATTAATTGGGAGCCATGGGTAGTCCCAACCACCCTGCAAAATATTGCAGTTAGACATTAATTTCTGCAGGAACATGATTGATTTCTAGCGTAGAGATAATAATAAGATTAGAGTAGAAAGAAAATATTTCTCTTTTAAAAAATAACAAAAGATAATTAATTTGAAATGAAGAGCGTAAAATAAGCTATACTAAACAACACTTTATGCTCTTTTAACACGGCATCTAACATAGACTTTGGGTTGAACTGAAGAAAATGGCACCTAGTGACCTAACACCGAAAACAGGACCAGTCTTGAATTTACAACCTCATTTTCCCCCACTACCATATTTAATTGGTTATTAAATTAGTTTGGAATATTCAACCAAAGAAGTAGAAATTAGTTCCAGTTTCCTATTTAGAATATTCAACCATGGAAAGATAGAAGGTTAAAATAATAGTTAAGGTATAAGGCATGCATTCCTAAACAACATTCAGCAACTTGCATAGCACAAGGCAAGTAGTTTTCGAGAAACCTTTATTGTGGCTCCAACACTGAGAGGTTAATTGGTTAAAGATGATTCAGGTTTACTGGATGAAGAATTTGTTTCAAGTGATTTCTTGTCAATAAAGAAACCCGGTTCTTCAGGTTGTTCTAGGGCTATCTCACTACTCAGCATCAAAATCACATATGACATCCTTGGCTTGTCTTCAGGGTGTTGTTGAACACATAAGAGAATAATGTAGGTGCATCTTAATACTTAAGACAGAGTGCAAGACTCTTGTACAAACAAATCAATCAGTTCTAAAGGATTTCCTTCTTTCCACAATATCCATGCCTATATACAAATTATAAACTGTCAGTCATTTTTCAAGTAATTTTTCAAGTCAATTTTCAGGTCAAGGAAGGAAAGAAAGTATGGTTTGAAGCTTGATACTTACATGTCCAACAATATTAAGGCGAGGCTTGAGATGGTTAAACCCTCTATTCTTCTTCCCACTTATCATCTCCCACAACAGCACACCAAAGCTGAAAACATCAGATTTTACTGAGAATTGCTCATAAATGGCATATTTTAGTGCCATATAACCACTGCAAAAAAAAAAAAAAAAAAAAAACAATTCAGATAAATTATATCAGCAGGGATATTTTAGTAAAATGGGGAGTATAAAGATAGTTTAACTTACTAGGTTCCAACCACTCTCTTTGTGCTTCCCTCAGACTGTTCTCCAAATGTTCTAGCCATGCCGAAGTCAGAAATTTTGGGGTTCATTTCACTATCAAGCTAAACATTGCTTGCTTTGAGATCTCTATGCATAATCCTCAATTGAGAATCTTCATGCAGATAGACAAGCCCTTTAGCAATTCCCCAAATAATGTCAAAACACCTTGACCAGTCTTAATAATTTGCTCCTTGTATCATCTATCATGAAACATGATCTTCGTATTAATGTAGTCTTCAACTAGAGTTTTTGAAACAGATAGTTGCATTGAAATATGGAAACAAATTGTATTAAATTTATACTACTACAAATTTAATGGACTGTGTTTCAAAGGAATCTGAACCAAAAATGAAGAAGTCCAAACTTTTACTGGGCATATATTCATAAATCAGATGTTCAAAATATATATATATATATATATATTCATAAATCAGCATTTTCTCCTCCCCTTGAATGCAGCATCCTAGAAGCTTTACAAGATTCCAATGTTGAAGTTTGGCTATAAGTGCTACGTTATTCTTGAACTCAACTAATCCTTGTCTAGAGCTTTTTGAGGACCTCTTCACAGCAATTTCTTTTCCATCTGACAAAGTACCTTGGAAAAATGTACTTGTAAAGTTCATTTGATCTTAAACAAATACTAACTTTTACAAGAGCTCTGAACATTTACCTTGTATACAGGCCCAAAGCCACCTTCTCCTAGCTTATTGTGGGAAGAGAAGTCATTGGTAACCTTGGATATTACAGCTAAATCAAATAAGGGGAGTTCTGTATTTTATTTTGCTTTTCATTGCTCCAGCCATGTTCTCTTCCTAAAGGGGTGAAGAATTTAATCAAAACCAAACAATGAGAAATGAACCAAGGGAAGTTGCAACCAATATTCAAAGGCTACAGGATTTGTGAAGGCAAAGAAACTTACCTTTTATGTTTTGACGGCTCCTGCTAATGTAATAGGTGATTACAACAACACTAATAACTACAAGAATGGCAATTGCAATTATTAGTGCTGCCTTCATTTTATTCTTGCCTTTTGTCTCTTCATGGTCTAATTCCATAAAACAAAGAAATATATGAATTAGAGTCCTAGCAATGAACTAGTTCCACATATTGACTGAAATTAAAATTGGTAACACCAAACATAAATATGAAATTAGGAATCATAACATAACTTAATGAAATGCTAGGTTGAACTAAGAGTAACCCAATACCAGAATCAGCAGCAGACACTCGAATGTATAAATCTTGTCCAGAAAACTGGACCTGTTTAAGATCAAGTGGATCACAATACCAGATTGCACACTTGCTGGCTTCTTTAATATCTAAGGTTGTATAGGTCATACAAGAACAATTCTCTAAGCATTTAGCCCTACACTGATTGAGATCCATGCTTTCATTAACCCAAGAGCGTTTCAGTGTCTGGGAGTTTCAACCCACCAAATTGGATAAACCTATCTCCTTTCTGGCAGTCTAATGGGTTATTGCACATGCACCCCTGCTACCAGTCCATGGAGTTCCCTTCATGTGATTTAAATTTGAAACTTTCAAACATTGACAAGGTGGCGACACTTAATTGACACAAATTCCATATGTGCCACAAGTTCCATAGTTGTCACAATCATTCCTTGGATAATGACTGAACAATATCCAAGTCCCAGCATCTTCTTTCCATATGGAGCCCTCTACCCTACTGGAAGTATGGT